GTCAGCGTTCCAGATCTTGGGGCATTCTAATACATGTAGAGTGGCATCTCATTTTAATTTGCATTTCCTTGATGACATATAGTACAGAACATATTTTTTATATGCTTATTTGCAATCTGTGTATCTTCTTCAGTGAGGTATCTGTTATGGTCTTTGGGCCATTTCTTTTAAAAAATGGGTTTGTTTTCTTACTACTGGAATTTAGGAGTTCTTGTAAATTTTTGTTAACAGTCCTTTATCAGATGTGTCTTTTGAAACTATTTTCTCCTAGCCTATGGCTTGTCTTACATTCTCTTAACATTGTCTTCTATAAAGTTTTTAGTTTTATTTATTAAAAAATTTTTTATTTTATTTATTTATTTTGAGAGAGATAGAGACAGCGTGATCAGGGTAGGGGCAGAGAGAGGGAGAGGGAGAATCCCAAGCAGGCTCCACACTGTCAGCATAGAGCCTGATGTGAGGCCTGAACTGACTAAACCATGAGATCATGACCTGAGCCAAAACCAACAGTCAGATGTTTAACTGACTGAGCCACCCCGGTACCCCAGAGAGTTTTAAATTTTAATGAAATCCAGTTTATCAGTTATTTTCTTCATGGACTGTATCTGGTATTATATCTAAAAGTCACTGACATGCTCAAAGTAATCTAGATTTTCTCCTATGTTACCGTCTATGAATTTTATAATTTTGCATTAACATTTAGGTCTGAGGTAATTTTTGTTATGGGTATAAGGCCTTTGTCTTGATTCTTTTTTTTTTTTTTTTTGCACATGGATGTCCAGTTGTTCTGGTGCTATTTGTTGAAAAGACTGTCTTTGCTACATTATATTGACTTTGACCCTTTGTCAAAGATCAGTTGACTATATTTGTGTGAATCTACTTATGAGTTTTCTATTTTTTTTTCATTGATCTGTTTGTCTGCTCTTTCTCTAACATCACATTGTCATGATTACTATAGCTTTATATTAAGTCTTCATAGTGGGTGGTGTCAGCCCTCCAACTTTGTTCTCCTTCAACGTTGGTGTTGACTATGCTGGTTTTTTTGCCTCTCCATATAAACTTTAGTGTTGGGTTGTCCATATCCACAAAATACTGTCCTGATAGGGGTTGCATTGAATCCATAAAGTTGGGAAGAACACTTTGTCAATATTGAGTCTTCACATCTTTAGTTCTTTGTGTGTTCCTTACCCATCAAATTGAAGATAAGTTCTTAATAGCACATAACAGTTATTTAATTTTCTCCTTTGACATCCACTGATAACTTTGTTAATTTCTTCTTTTTGCTACCCTATAATACTCAGTATTAATACCTAGCAGTTCCTTGAGAGAAATGCAGCATATGATTCTTTCATTCTTTTCTGACTTTCTGAAGTCCCTGCTTCGTCCACTTCCTTGCCTGACTTGGGCAGCATCTACTGAGTCTTCAAGGGACTGATACAAAGGCATTATGTAGTACTGGATTCTGGTCAGACAGATTTGGGGTGAACCCCAGATCTATCTATTAGTTAGAGGACTTCAGATCATCCACTTAATAACTCATGTTCTTTATCTTCAAAAAAGGTAGGGGCGCCTGGGTAGCTCAGTCCACTGAGCGTCCGACTTCAGCTCAGGTCACGATCTCACAGTTCGTGGGTTTGAGCCCCACGTCGGGCTCTGTGCTGACAGCTTGCTCAGAGAATGGAAACTGCTTTGGATTCTGTGTCTTCTTCTCTCTCTGCTCCTCCCCCATTCAAACTCTGCCTCTCTCTGTCTCCTAAAAATAAATAAATGTAAAAAAAAATTTTTTTTTAATTTAAAAAGGCAAAAGCATACTGCTCTATTAGGGTTGCTTTTAGTAGTTAATATTTCTAAGCCCCCGTACTGATGGTAATTGCTTAATGAATAATAATAATACTTTCTCTGGAACACATCCCTTCAGGAAGACCAGGGAAGAGATTTAAACTAAAGTCCATAGTTTTTATGAGGGCTTTGTCCTTGTGTTGTACAGTTTCATGGGTTTTGCCAAGTGCATACATAACACCTTGCATCTACTGTTACATGTCATCCAGAATAGTTTCACTGTCCTGAAATCCCCTGTGCTTCCTCCTGCACCCCACCCCAAACTTCTGGTGGCCACTCATCTTTTTATTGTCTGTAGTTTTTGCCTTGTCCAGAGTAATGTCATATAGTTGGAATCACAAAGTATATCGCCTTTTCACACTGGTTTCCTTCACTTAGCATTTGAATAGATGGTGTTAATGGAGTCATTGTCCAGATTTTCAGCTTCTGCGTAAACTCTTTATTAATATTGATCCGGCTAAGAGCAGTGGTTTCTTCATAACAATGTTTCTTTTATAAAAGAAAGGCACACTTTTATCTGTTCCAGACCTTACTGTGGTGCCTTGCCCTGGGGTCATAGAAAACTTAACAATTTTAAAATTTCAGTTAATGCCTTAAATTTTTCTCGCAGAGAAGTGTGATAGGGTAAACAATAAAAGACTTTTAATTATAAACTATATTGCATAAAAATTCTATGTGTGGGTGAGATTGAAATAAAAGTCAAAAAAGTGAAACAGTAATGTAAAGTTTCCAGCTTTTAGAAGATTTTATAAATTTATGATTTAAATGGATAATGGTTTCATTAAATTACTGTGGATTTAGATTCCATTGAATATTCTTATAACTTTTACTTTAAAATGTCCGTATTTCTGGGGCACCTGGGTGGCTCAGTCGGTTAAGCGTCAGACTTCGGCTCAGGTCATGATCTCACAGTTTGTGGGTTCAAGTGCAGCATTGGGCCTGTGCTGACAACTCAGAGCCTGGAGCCTGCTTTGGATTTTGTGTTTCCCTCTCTCTCTCTGCATCTCCCCTGATCACACTGTCTCTCTCTGTCTCTCAAAAATAAATACATGTTAAAAAATTTTTTTAAATGATAAAATGTCCGTATTTCACCAGGGTAGAAATTAAATTATGTGCAGGTACCTATTATCACCACAGATGAAAAATTGTCAATGTTAACTTGCTAATGTGTGAGTAGTTCCATAATTTAAAAGTCTTTTAAAGGTCTGTAAGCAAAACCAGTTGAAGACTGCTAGCACGATGTATAAACCCCAAGTTTTTAAACCTGTTATATAAAACCTTTCATCGGTTTTATCCTCATCCTTTAAAAAAAGTTAACCATTTCCTGTTTCATCTGGTATGCCCCAGCAAGAAAGACTACTTGAAGTTCTGTATCATGTTTTTTCCCAGCTCTTTGTTTTTATGGTGTTATTCTTTCTGTCTTTGCCTCACTGCTTCCCACCCCTGCTATAATATGCAGAGACCCTGATTGAGGAATTACCCACCAAACCCTTCCTTCACATGGGCTGAGGTGCCCGAGCTCCAGGACTCCTCACCACCTCTGCTAGTCTTTACCGTCATGTGAATGCACTGTTTTGTAATTAGCTTGTTTTTCTCTGAAATTGGACTGTAAGGTCTCTGAGAGTAGGAACTATGTTTTATCTTTGCCTTCCCAACAGCCAGCTATGTACCTCTCCTGAGAATAGGTTAATTTACTGGGCAAATAATAATTACTGGATGAAACAAAGGTGGATTTTAATTGTTAGAAAGTTAATTCTTGCCCATAACTTTTTGGGGGGAGTCAAACTGTAAAAGGTTATTTTTGTTTTATGCTGGTTATTTTTCTGGCTCTAATATTTGCCCTTCCTCATAAGATTTTCAGTAAACATTCACATGAAAATAGGATTTTGAACACATGAATGAATTTATCACTCTTGTAATAGAAGGAGCATAGATTGTGAGCAGTAAGACAAGGACTCTGGTTTTGGCTCTGCTGCAGACTTGTCATGTGACCATGGATGAGTTAACCAGCGTGGGGGGCGGGGGGAAGGTCAGTTTTCTCATCTGTAAAATGAGTAAGTGACCAGATTATTTCCAAGGTTTTCTTTTCTCTTGATTTACTCAAGAGACAGACTTGCAGTAAAGCAAACCTATAATTATCCTAGGCAAGAAGAATAGGAAATACAGACTTGATTTAGCTTCTAATCTCCCATACTGTGGACATTACATACGCTATATGTAGATAATGCTGACCTTGTTCATATCACGTGCAAACTACATAGTGTCATGGCTTAGATTTTATCCTTAATCCATAAAAATAAAGTAAAATAATTCAAATTGTCATGATTGAAAATTTAGAAGTAGTTTATATAATATGTTGAGTCATATAATTTTCAGACTATATTTTAGCTGCTTTCGCCAAGTCTATTATTCGACCTGATTAAAGTAATGGTTTCCAGAGCCTTTTTATCATTCTGGAAGTGGAGTTACCTGTGTTGAAACACTTTTTTTGTGACTAATGACTCCATCACAGCAGCCTTATTCAATGAGAAGCAATATTAAAAACAATTAACAAATGCTTTCCTGTGTGTTTCGGTCAGTCATAGGACGCAGTGATTCACTTTGATAGAGCTGGACTGAAGGCCATTTAGGTATACATTTTATGAAATGGTCGAGGTGATGTTGTTTGGCCAAAACAAAGGCAATATTTCCATTCTTGTCTGTCATTTCAGCCGGCTTCCCCTCCCCTCTTTCTTCACCTGCTTGAGAAAAACTATTTCTTCAGACAAACCTCATAATTGCCCTTCTGTGCCTGATTTGGGCCTCAGGAAAGGCCCATAGCATCTGTAAAGCTGGCAGCAAAATGGTATTTCCAGGCAGGCACAGGGTTGCTGGGTAGTGAGCCAATCCACAGCTCTGTCGGAGCAGCTGAGAACTTCGCCGGAGCATTACCACGGTGTTCAGTAACACGGACCTGTGCCATGAGCAGCTAGCACACCGAGCAAGTGTCAGGGTCAATATTTATAGACCACTACGTAGCTGCCTTGCAGAGAGAGAAAACGAGAGAGAGACACGCACACGAAGGGCAAGGCAAGAAAGACTCCAGTGGGGGGGGGGGGGGGGGGGGGGGGGGACATTCATTTCCAGTATTTTTTCCTAAAAGGATTCTTTTTAACTGTCAGGTTCAAACTTCTGCTGAATCATAACCATTCACCACTGAGCTATGACAAGAGACGAAACAAAAGTTAAAGGAGCAAGCCTGTCATAAGTGAGAAGGTAAGTAATTAGCCGGTTCAGTCTCACTTTGACTCGTAAACTCCCTCTCCCTGTTGGCTGCTCTGCATCGGTACGCAAAGGGCTGTGTGGCATGTTAAAGCCGGTACGGAGGGGCTGCCTGCTGTTTAAGAATGTTCTCGGTGGCGGCGTAGTTTCATGTATGGCCCTTAAGAAAGCTGTGGACGATCAGAATAGACACACCAGTGGGTGGGGGGGAGGGTTCTCCACTACTGATCTCCTGTCCTATCAGCAAGTTTCTGTTTCTTCGTTCTGTCACACTTGAAGTCTTCTGATTGGTAAATTCCTGTTTGCTTTCATATCAGCATTGAAACGGGACTGTGAGTGAGTTTATAATGGTGAGTGGTCTGGAGATGGAACAGGGGAAACATTCATATGAACACGTGAAGAGGTAGCAGACTTGCCAGTGTGTCAGCTGTGAATGTGAATGAACAACATGGGTTCTTTTTAAAAGCAAACCCACGTCCATTTGACAGCACCCAAAAGTGAATTGAGGACCACCTTTGGGACCAGAGAGAACAAGGAGTGATGAAACGCTGAGAACAGCCTTCTTAATCCAAGCTGCAAAAGACTCCGTGTTTAGGGGAGTTTATCTGTCCAGTCGACTTGCTAGTTGGTTCCTTACAAAAAGTGATTCCCTATTAAAGGCATTGAATTAACATGTCTTGCTACACACTGGTGGTTTGTTTTCCTTTCAGCACATTTGGCACTTTGACACGTTTCTCTGTGTGTTCAGAGTGCTGTGGGATCCTCATTTATTTGTCATTGTGTTGTGTATCCCAGATTAACATTAAGAGCCGTGGTACTGAAGAGGACAGAAAGAAACTGTCTTCTAATATTTTCTGATTTAGGACACCCATGCCATTTACAAACTTGTATGTTTTATGTCTATAGGGCACGGAAAGTAAATATGTTGCTTTGCTGGAAGTATGGCATTAACTAGGTGAAGCTTATCTACTGACCTAGTGAAAGCTTCCCTCCGTTGTTTTTTAAATTATGGGACTATAAACATTAGCATGATATTTGAAAATTTTAGGTTAGGTTATAGATGCTGATTATAGCTCTAAGGGGTTTTCTGTATTATATATTTAAGTTCGAAACAAAGATAAAACTAAATTTTCTTGCAGGGCAGAAACTGTAGGCCAAAAAGAGATAGAAGGAAAAATGAATACTCAGGCACAGATTTTGTTTTAGGGCTAATATTCAGGAACCGGCTAATTCTGCAATAGAATAAACCACATCCAGAACAGCAGGTGGAATAGGTCTAAATGTAAAGTAAATCTCTTTTAAGATGAGGCCAGTCATTGTAGAATATTACTTTTATTGAATCTCCTGTAATTTCCAAAGTAATGCAGGATGTTTCAAAATCAGTTCAATGAATCCAGAAATGCTTTATGGGTAATCTCACATCTAAATTTAAACTATATTATAACATTCATTTAATGCTGATTTTAGCCTCTGAATCGAGGTTTTCTTCTATCCTTTTCAAGTTCTGCCTACCGGTTTCTTAATGGGTTTGATTTAAATTTTGGACAACAATATCTTTATTTTCAAAATGCAACCACTGTTGGTCTAGAGGGAGCATTTCTCAATTAAAATTTTCTTTGCTACTGCCTTTGGGTGGTATCTTATAATCAAGATTATAATTTCACTTCTTTATTCAATATCTTTTATTTGTTCGCTTTATATGTTGCATAAATACATGATATTACTTTTTACACTTTTTTTAAATTTACACTTGGTTTTATTTTCTTTCCTTTTGGTATTTTGTTTCTGAAGTACCCTGTAGAAACTTTGGGCAGAAAACAAGGCAAATAAAATAAGCACAATAAAAAGAAACTTAAAAAAATTGTCCTTTTAACCAAGAAAGCAAATAGAAAAATTGTGATATTGGTTGACGATGTCTAAAATGGAATGTATTTTGGTTGAAGGCTAGTTGAGTGTTTTAAGACTTGAAATACCTTCTTAATGTTAATTTTGGCTTTAATGTCAATCCTGATATTGGTTATCTATCATATTTGTAAACAACATTTTAAATATAGGCATATTATAAGAAAGACCGTCAGAAGTTTTGTATCATGTGATAACTGTCTGTTGAAGCAAGATTAGTGAATTTAGTTTGAAAGATTAATATTAACCTCCTTTACTACCAGTCCATCTGCTACATTACCCTTAGAAGGATCAATCTCCCACCCCAGTGAACACTTCACTTTCCTGCTAAAGCCCTTTCATCCTTGGCTCTCTATTGCTTAATAGATAAGGATCAGTCTTCTTGGCATAAAGACTCTCTTCTTGATCAGGCTGCTACTTCTCTTCTGTATTGATCTTCTGCTGTTCTTTCTGGGTTGGTTTTCATACTCTCTCGCTCACCCGTGAGTCTTCTTCTTCCCTTTGTTTCATGCTCTAGCAATATTGAACGTCGGTATTTCTCAAAACAATCTGTACGATTTTACTCCTTTCTGGAGTTGTTTATGTTGCTTCTATCTTCAAAACCTTCATCCTGGTCTTTGCCTTTCAGCCTGGGAGGCATCCCTTCCAGGCACCTTGCTCGTGATCCACTGTCAGCTTCTTAGGTTTGGCCTTGTGTATAAACCTCTGTCACAGAACTTTGCAAAGCCTGGTAGAACACTTTGTGCTTCTTTTTCCACGGGAAGTTGTAAGCTACTCATAGCCAGGTTTGAAACTTTATTCTTTTTGTGTTCCTCCAAGACCTAGCATTCAAAAGATACTCAAGAACTTGAACCAGAGAAAACCTTTATTGTGTTTATTTTAAGCCCTTGTTTCTTGATAGACTTTTTATTTTAATGTATTTCACAACTTCGATAAACGGCATTGAAGGAAAGCCCCTCAAATAAATGATAAATGCTTTTGGAAGAATAGTAATGCTGTAAAAAGGTTCTCTTGTTTCTCTTACTAGGTCCACCATCACAGTAACGTGTGCTGTATCCATGTGTGTTTATCCATGGATAAACGGATAAACGGTTGAAGCCGTAGACATGTATTTGAATAATAAAGTTCAAAATTATACTGGTTAGCACATGAAAATTCAAGATATATAGCTCAAAAATATTGTTGAACTTGATGAAATCTGTCAAAAAAGTCAGCTAATTACTGCTGTTATGTGGACTCCTGTGATAAGTTAAATTGCCCTAGCAAACTGAAGACAGTGTTACACCATCCAGAAGGCCTAGAGAGAATATTTGGAGAGACTGGGTCCATAGTCCTGTATCCTAGAAAATTTTACAGAGTGGAATGACTCCCAATGTGGCTGACAAAGGTATACTTCCTTCTTTTATACTTCTGTCTTCTCTTGTAGAGAGAGTTAGGGATTTAAGGAAATAACAGAAAATCGTGGCTTAAAATTTTTCAAAACTGAAGGGTGATATTCCATTTCAGTCAGAAGAATTTGCTCCTCAAAATAGAAATGTTGAAAGAAAAGGATGTCAGTGTTTAAAAAATAGTTGAGAAATAGCAGCTGTTTCTTTTACTTTTCATACTCAGCAAAAATAAAATTTAATTTGTCTTTGTGTTTTACTTCCCCACCATGCATAGAAGAGTTACTTTGTGTGTGAAATACTTTGTATAACAGAAAAAAATAGAGTTTTATGCACAATTTAGAGTCATTGACGAATTTTCTTATTCTGATTTTTCATTTCTTATGTACTCAGGTAATAGTTTCCACTATGTTGAAATCTTATTAGCCTCTTCCACACATCAAATGGGACTCTTTTCTTTGTTTAACCTTGAATTGTATCTGTCTTTGGAATAAAAATAAGATTGATATTTTCGTAGGGAAGTTTGGAAGCCTTTTGATTTGCTTGAAATGGACCATAATTCAATCTGGAATTTCTTTTCAGATATTTTTTGCCCACATACATATCGAGTTTAAATAGGTAGAAGAGGTGTCTCAGGGATAATGGTTATAATCATATGTCTCACTGGTATATCAAGTAATCTTAATATTGCAAAACTGGAAGGGTGGGGCTCTTTTTATTTATTTATTTATTTATTTATTTATTTATTTATTTGTCAAAGACACAGAAATGTACTTAGTTCCCATCAGCCAGTGATGAGAGAAACCAAAGCTTGTGTCTGTATTAAAAGATTATGGCAAAACAAACCAATGGAAGCAAAAAAGTACTCCCACCCTCTTTAAGAGATGGAACAACTTTGTGGTTGGAGTGAGGCATAAAGGATTTTGCCAGTATATTAAAGTCATATTGTATTATTATTAGCAGCTTTTTTTTCCAATCAGACTTTCTCTTTTTTTTTCTTTTTTTAACATTTATTTCTGAGAGAGAGAGAGAGAGACCAAGTCCACAAGTGGGGAAGGGACAGAGAGAGAGAGAGAGAGAGAGAGAGAGAGAGGAAGATACAGAATCTGAAACAGGCTACAGGCTCCGAACTGTCAGCACAGAGCCTGATGTGGGGCTGGAACTCTGAATGGAGAGATCATGACCTGAGCCGAAGGCAGACGCCCAACCGACTGAACCACCCTGGTGCCCCTAATCAGAATTTTTCTATAGGCACACATGGCATAGGGTCCATAGAGCATGAAAGGAGAAGAATAAATTAATCATTGAAGTTGAACCTTAAAGTTCTTCTACTTCACCTGTTTCATTTTACAGATATGGGCAGTTGTGGTACAAAGAGGTCATATGACTTCTCAAACATCACCTTTTAATGGGGCTAGTCAAGATTTTTATTAAAAGGAAAAAAAGGAGGGGTGCCTCGGTGACTTAAGTGTCTGACTCATGATTTCGGCCCAGGTCATGATCTCCCAGTTCATAAGATCAGTTTGTGAGATCGAGCCCTGTTTTGGGCTCTGTGCTAACAGGGTGGAGGCTGCTTGGGATTCTTTCTCTCCCTTTCTCTCTGCCCCTCCCCTGTTGGCACGGGCTTTCTCTCTCTCTCTCTCAAAATAAATAAATAGCTATTGAAAAAAAAATACATGCTTATAAGGACAGTATTTTGTCACTGTG